AATAATAATAATAATAATTATTATTATTATTATTGTTATTATTATTAATACATTAATAGGAGAATGAGCCTAATATCGTCTTGAATATCGACAAAGACATCTGCTATCGTCGATATCTCTGACTATCGTCGATACACGATACTATCGTCTATCGGCACAACCCTATAGCCTATCAAGTATAGTGTATGTTTTGAAGAATGTCAACCGAGACAAGCATACCAGCTGGGTGAGGAGGTTTCAGAGCCACCAGCTCCTCATCTCTCTCCTCCTGAATGGAATCCTCTGCTAGAGAGATGTCCTCGCTGCTGGCCTCCAGGCCATTGCGATGACTGGCAGATCCCCGCATGTTGAACTCAGAGATTGTGTCCTGTAGCAAGGGGCTCGGCTGGGCGTGTGGAATTGGTTTGGTGATCGGGTTTGTGTAGAACTTGGAGACCTCCAGATCATCCTCCCCACTTCTCTCCACAGTTACTTCTCTGGTCTCTCCTTCATCCATACTCAGACTGACGTGTGACAGGAAAACATTGAAATATATGGTTACATCTTTACTAACTGTAATGGTTGAGAACTAGTGTGAACTTACCTGAGTCCGTTTTGTGGGTATTCTGAAGGAGAGGCCAAGTCATCAGCCTCTCTGTTCACAGAGCTGTTATACAGACTGCTGTTATTCAGATTCTTCAAAACAAGCTTCTTTATGCTCTTCCTAAAAGAAAAACATGCAGACAGGAACACTTTAGTTAGTGCACTACATCTTGAGCTACATGTACAATAAGAGTAGCTGGAGTTATGAAGTCAGGTTCTTACCTAGGCATGAAGGCTCCATTGTTAAGAGAGGGTTCATCATCATCAAGTCCATCAAAGAGCTGAGATTTGGAGGAGCCTGAGGAGGACAGAGCTTTGGGACGAACACGGGTGGCAGGACGAGGGGTCAGTTTGTACTGAGTAGGGGTAGTCAGGGCTTTCTGGGCAGCTGGATTTGTGGGCTTCAGACGCTAATGATGGAGAAAATATGTTAGCAGTGAATGTACTGTGCTAAATGGTGAAAAAAACAAGTGGTCTTTAATGGAGCCACTCACTAATCTATTAAAATAACCAATATGTGTAAGGACCATGTAAACTGTAAAATCAAACCTCTTCCTTCTTCTTTGGGTCTGACAGTGGATTTCTGAAGAGGGGTGAGTCTCCAAAAGGAGAGTAGGCCAATGCATTGATCTGCTGTTGGAGGACAGCCTGCTGTGCAGCTGATGCATTAGGGTCAGTCAGAGCTGTGAACAAAACATAGTATACCGGTTATTTATTTTACAGAATCTCAAAGAGATCTACCTCACATGAAGTACTCAATTTAACATGACTACAACCAATTATGGGAATTAAATAATTTATGAAGCATCTGCACTGACCCACAGGCTGTTGAGGAGCACCAAAAGTCAAAGTGTTGGCTCCAGTGTTGAAGCCTCCAGTCCCGAAGGTGCCCACTGAGCCTAGGGTGGAGCCCAGCTTGTTCTGGTTGTTCCCAAACAATGACATCTGGCCAGTTCCTACAGCTGAAAATACAGACTAATACTTAGAAACCATGTTTTCATTCTTACAATAACAAATGACAACAAAAATCATGCACCCCAAAACATACCTCCTCCAAAGCCAGTTCCCAGTCCTGTTCCCAGGCCTGTCGTAGCAGTTTTGCTCCCAAAGAGACCCACACCAGTACCAGTTGCACCAAATCCTTTAAAGTACACCAACATTGACATTTGAGAAGAAATATATCGGAAATTCTAGATCAGATCTAAGTGCACACTGGTGAAATGGCGCCCACCACTTTCTTCACCAAAACTGGGAATAATTTGATTACAGCAAATACTAGTCAGTGTTAACATCATACAACTTTACTGTTAAAGGCTTACCAAAGGTTGAGGCGTTTGTGTTAGTCCCTAGAGTAAGCGTAGGCTTATTTGCAAACAGACCAGTGCCTGTTCCAAAGGAGGGTGCGCTAGTTGTGGTGGCGCCAAATCCAGCAGGCTTATTACCAAAAAGATTCTGTGAAATAAAGATGACAAGTTAATCATTTAGAAAAACAATGCAAAAAATTCTAACTTACATTTGAAAACCTAAAAATGTACTTTTGAAAAATACAGAAAAGAGAAAGGTACAAAAAAGAGAGGTAACTGTAGCCTCTCCAGAAGTCACCTGTGTTCCCACATTCCCAAAGCCAGTGTTCGTTTGGCCGAACATTCCTGTGCCGAAGCCTGTGGCCGTACTTGTGTTAGTGTTTCCAAACAGTCCTCCAGCCTGAGAGGCAGCAGTGTTGCCAAACAGCCCCTTAAAAATAAAATATTGGATGAAATGCAGAATTAACCAGGGCTCGTATTCACAAAATATTTTATCTTACCACTAAGAGTTCTCCTAAATAGCAGTAAAAGTTTTTAGCTACGAGTTTTCTCTTAAAATCTATTGACAAAGCTGCTGAGAAACTTTTACTAAGAAATAGAGAGAAGTCTTAGGCTAAGAGTAAGAGCGGGGTTGACCTCGTTGCTATGGATGATGTCAGCATGCTTACTAACTATTCACACAGTGATTGGCTGATAGTCTCTGTCAGAGATTTATTCATGGAAATATTGTAGAGCACAATATTATGTTGCCATATTCAAATAAAGGTTTAAAAATAAAAAAAATGTAATTGCCACGTTCAAGGGCATAGTTTTGGTTTGAACATTGGGGGGGTTAAAGTGTGAACTGTTTTAGTAGAGTCCCACGTCATGCTCACTCAACCCACTACAGACACCTTGGCAATTGAAACGCCATTGGCTAGTAAATGTTTTTGTTTACTCGCCAGACTGAAATAGGTCCGGACCTCGGTAAATTTTTCATGTTCAAAAATAAAATGTGTTCCTTGAATGACTAATTTGCTGTTAAACTCCTCATATGAATGCATGCATGACATGTATAATTCAGTTTAGACAGTTTGCAAGAATGTTTAGCGTCCCTATTATGAAAATGATCACTGCGAGACGCTGGCGGAGTGAACAAGGCTTGAGAGAGCTGTGAGAGTAGTGATGTCCGGTTCGCGAACGAATCGTTCGAGTTAACCGGTTCTTCTTAGTGAACCAGTTGAACCAGTTCACCAAATCGGACTGAATTGTTTGAAACGGTTCGCATCTCCAGTAAGCATTAATCCACAAATTACTTAAGTTAACTTTTTTAACGTGGCTGACACTCCCTCTGAGTCAAAATAAACCAATATTCCGGAGTAATTCATTTACTCAAACAGTACACTGACTGAACTGCTGTGAAGAGAGAACTGAAGACTGCGCAGAGCAGCATGTGTGCAGTGTGCCGGGTAACGAACATACACGCCCACTGCTGGAGCAGTTCTTGTTCTCGAGTCAAGAACCGGTTGCATCGGTTTTTGGATCACCAGTACACTGAACCGAGAGCAGTTTCTTTCGGATATGTCCGATTTGAGAACCGATGAGCTGAT